CAGAATACCAACTCATGCTGGCAATTATGTATCACATAAAAAAATACAATGTTACATTTCCTTTTCCTTGTGTTTTGTATTCGGTTAAAGTATGCCGCCATTAAGATATCTCATAACCTGTTCATCCCAACTAAATCTCCTGTAATTTCCATCTGTAAAATAAACACTGAGGACAGAACGGTCGGAACAAAAGCAAGAAGGAAAGTCGGAGGCTGATACACGCAACAGACTCATCATGCAGAACGTCAAGCCGCCAGAAATCTTTCTTGCATCTACATTTATGATGCGAGGATCTACACGGCTTCAGTTGTCATTCAAGAAACCGAGTTGAAATCTCGTTCTCTATTTGTGTTTTTTTTTCTCTTACGCAAGCTTGAGACGATGGTGTGGTGTGGGTGGGGGGGTGGGGACAGATGGGGAGAAGGAGATGGATATTTTTAAGTAATTCATTCAGTAGGGAGTGGCGTGGGAGAACATATGGGGGATGGGGAGAGGAAGAGGATTGTATCTGAACTAGGAGGGGAGCACATGGGGAGAGGGGGAGGGGGGAGGAGCTGATTCAAGTAGAATGATACATGTATTGAGAAAAGGGAACAGGTACTGAACACAGAAAAAAACATGGAGAAGAAAGCAGATTAAAGAAAACAGTGAATGAAGAGTTCATGTAGATTGGAAAGAAAGAAACTGATGATGTAAAAGACAGGATGAGACATTTGATAACGAGGAAAATTAGTTTGAAGGATTAACGATGAAAGAAAGAAAGAATGAAATGTCAAAAATGATAAATCGTGGAAGGAGGGGGTCTACGGGTCTACGTCTTGCATGTAAACACCAACACACGTCTCATTGCATAGTTAGGAGAGAGGGGAAGGACCAGCTCGGTGCCAGGAGGCTTTGGACTGTGACACATCCTTAGAGAGAGAGAGAGGGACAGAGAGAGGCAGGTCTACGGAGAGCGCGCGGGGAGAGAAAGCCTTCTCTATCTCACGGGGCGGGGGTGCCACAGTACAAAGGACAAGAGCAGGTCTGGCACCGGCGAGCTGTCCTGGTTACCTGCGCGAAGGCCTCCATAGCCATAGAGTCAATAAACTGAACGATCTGAGAGAAGTGGAATGCCGACAGGTGCCTGGGGCTGACGGGAGCACCGGGACAGTCCTAGATCACCACCAATCTCAGTTAGGTTCTTAAACCCTATAGGAGCATGGGTTAAACTCCTTACTATGTTCATTATTCCACAGATATTCATGGATCATGATTCACTCATGGAATTCCTTCTCTTTATACAAAGTGCTTATATACAAGTGAAAATGTGAAGAATGCCTAGAGAAAATAATAATTCTTGATACAAGAGTAAATGAAAGATTGAACAAAAGAAATCAATAAATCACCAGGGAGAGAGAGAAAAGGAGAAATCATGAAATAACATTACTTATTTCTTTAAATTTTACCATAAAACGTATAGATAAAAAAAGAAAAAACGTAATTTCAACTTACTGGCTTCCTTGGCTTCCTGGTCGCCCTGTTGATGGTGCTGACGAACTGCCTCGTGTGGAGGTACATGTTGTGGTGGTTCACGTCCGTCTGCGTTCTCACGTCGTCGTCCTTCACTGCGTGTCTCTTGTAGGTGCTTCCGCGGTGCTGGGGCGGAAGGGAGGCGCGTGTTAGGATTGCATTTAGGGATCTCTATTTCGCCTTGAGGTCTTGCAGGGTATTTTTTTAAAATCAAAATATCCTTATCATAACAGTTGGCAGTGGATTACATTGCGTATTACTTGCGTCAGATGAAGACTAAATCATTTAAGGATATTCGTGGAACAAAATATCGGATGTTTTTCAAAACGACACATAAAACGTGACCTTTCTCATTCTTATGATTTTCGGACAAATCGTAAACATTGTGAAGAGAGAGAGAGAGAGAGAGAGAGAGAGAGAGAGAGAAGAGAGAGAGAGAGAGAGAGGAGAGAGAGAGAGAGAGAGAGAGAGAGAGAGAGAGAGAGAGAGAGAGAGAGAGAGAGAGAGAGAGAGAGAGAGAGAGAGAGAGAGAGAGAGAGAGAGAGAGAGAGAGAGAGAGAGAGAGAGAGAGAGAGAAGAGAAGAGAGGGAGAAGGAGAGGGGAAGGGAAAGGGAAAGGGAAAGGGAAAGGGAAGGAAGGGAAAGGGAAGAGGAGAGAGGGAGAGAGAGGGAGAGGGAGAGAGGAGAGAGAGAGAGAGAGGAGAGGAGAGAGAGAGAGAGAGAGAGAGAGAGAGAGAGAGAGAGAGAGAGAGAGAGAGAGAGAGAGAGAGAGAGAGAGAGAGAGAGAGAGAGAGAGAGAGAGAGAGAGAGAGAGAGAGATCCAGGGAATCCATGCAGCTTGACTCACTCTCTTGATCGGCTTGTATTCTTCGGACAGAACGTGGTGGAACTTGGCTTCGTTGAGGTCCCTGATGTTGGGGTTGTAGTCGAGCTCAGCCACGTCCAGGTTCCATTCTCCGGCGTTCTTCACGTGGAACCTAGAAGGGAAAGAGGGATTATCGACTTCATCTCAAAGTCTCCGTTTTGTTTTATTTTCTACTCTCGGGTAAAACCGTATTTAAGATTTACTTTGTCTTAATTACTTGTATTAAAATCATAAGACTTTTTTGTAGTTAAATCATCTTATCCTTACTGGCACGGTTATTTTCATGCTCGCCATCAACCTCAAAGACAATATCCTTTTCCCCCTTGGTGTCTTCATCCTTATAGTCACCATTACCTCGAATCACTACCGAAACAGGACGCATTAACCAAGAGAAGTCTTACTGTTGGCTGGCAACTGCATTCCTGAGAAGAGCAGTGAAAGATTCGATGTTGTTCGTGGAGTTGCTGTTCGACATGTTTTCCATGGCCTCCTGCATCTTGATCTGGCTGTAAGTCTCCAGGATCTTGGGCTCGAAGATGTTCTGTTCGCGAACCAGGAAGGGCGTGATGTACTTGTTGTTGAACCGCTTGAACCTGGCAAAGGGAGGAAGGCGTTGGAAAATGAAGTGATGAACGCAGTTCTTTTTTTCTCGTATCTACATTGTTTTTTCTGACGTTAATGATGCATCTTATCGTTACATGTTGCTCTTCTTACATTTTTGTCTCGATCAACTCACTTGTCTCTCAACATGAAGTTTCCGTGCTTGCCCATCAGGTCCTCGATGCCCGCCATGATGTAATCCATCGACTGTTGTTGAGAAAAAAAAGAAAAGAAAAATATATAAACTGCAACGTCAAGACTTCAGGAAAGAGAAGAAAAAAATGATAATCACAGCGTCAAGGTTTCTGATACGTCAATGATAAACATCGATATATAAAGAAAAAGAAAAATGTCCTGACATTTCCATCGTGTTTAGTTTCCAACTATTAAAAACGTAAATCACAGTCTGTTTTCGTAATTATTAACTATATTTATTTCCTCTCGGAGGACGATAAAATGACCTTTTAAATCAAAATCTTTCAAGAAATCTGGCGTTTTTGTTTTTCATTCCCCACTCGTCACTGGGACACGCATGCACACTGATCCGTGAGCCTGAACAGTCCGTGAGTGAGATGTACCAAGTCATCGTGACAGCATTTCGCCGCCAGATACCTTGGTTCCGTTTCCTCCTGCTTATCTCGCATGCAAACCAAACGCTGTACTTCGCCAAAATAAGAACAGTTACTCTAGCCTCGCCACAGTATTTCATTTCCCTGAGTTACCGAGTGAGATGCGAAGTGCGGAAGGGTTTTCGAGAGTCCCTGAAAAATCTCGAAGGACTTGGTGGGGTCCTTATCTTTTACTCATGACTCGTGACTCACCCTCTCGTGGAGTCTCTCGTTCATGGTGAGGGTTCGCTTCTCTGCTCTCTTGACGCCCAGCATCTGCACGAGCGGCTTGATGGTGATGCCCTAAAGAGAAGAGTCAGCAAATAAAATCAAGGCTTAGAATCAACGTGAAATAAAAAAAAGTGGGGAGGTAATTCAGTAAAGGGGAAATAATAAATATCAAAGTAAATGTACATCTATCTACTCATTTATTAATTTCTATCTATGATTTTATATATATATGTATATATATTTTATAAATATAATAATAAATAATATATATATATATATATATATATATATTATATATATATATATAATATATACATATATATCTATATCTATAATCTATCTATCTATCTATCTATATGTGTGTGTGTGTGTGTGTGTGTGTGTGGGTGTGTGTGTGTGTTGTGTGTGTGTGTTGTGTGTGTGTGTGTGTGTGTGTGTGAGTGTGTAAATATGTGTATGCAGCATATGACAGTCAACCCCCTACCCAAACCCCCGAGAGAAGACCCCGAGTCCACCTGCAACAAACACGGTGAAGTAGAACCATGGCGATGGTGGCCGTGAGGAACATGGGCTGGAAGGGGATGTGGTGCGAGTTGATGGTGAGGACGAGGGCGAAGGCCACGGCTCCTCGCAGGCCGCCGTACGAGATGACGAACTTGTCGGTGAAGGAGATCTTCTTGACACGGAAGCGGTTGCATATCGAGGAGAAGATCAAGGTTCCTGGAGAGGGAAGGCGGAAGGAAGGATTCGCTTTAGATCGGGTGCCGGCGCTTCATTTGCATACGGCGGTGCGGTGAGTGAGAGTGGAGTGAGGATGAGAGTGAGAGGGAGAAAGGAGAGAGAAAGTGAGAGAGAGAGAGAGGAGAAAGAGACAGACAGAAGAGAGAGAAATATTATATATATATATATATATATATATATATATATATATTATTATATAGGAGAAGAAGAGAGAGAGAGAGAGAGAGAGAGAGAGAGAGAGAGAGAGAGAGAGAGAGAGAGAGAGAGAGAGAGAGAGAGAGAGAGAGAGAGGAGAGAGAAGAAGGAGGAAGAGAGGAGAAAAGAAAGACAGACACACACACAGACAAAGACAGAGAGACAGAGATAGAGAGAGAAACGAAAAGGGAAGGAACAGATATACAAAAAGAGAAAAAGAGCAGAAGGGACGAACGAGAGGTGCTTACCAAGTGTCCTGTAGACGCTGCAGAAGAGGATGGTCATAACAACAAACCACGTATTCCAGTCGTGGTGGTACTGGACGGTCGACACGCCAAGGAACATGAAGATGATGGTCTCGGAAGATGACGCCAACATCTTCATGGCGTATTTGATGGTCGTGTGGGACTTGGTCGAAATGTTCTGCTCGACGTAATTTTTCATCGTGATACCGCAGAACGTGATGCTGTGAAAAGGAAAGAACGGAAAATAAGGGAAATGCGTAACATTGCTCTTTGGGAAACTGGACGTTTCAGTGTCACACACACACACACAGACACACACACACACACACACACACAACACAACACACACACACACACACACAACACACACACACAACACACACACACACACACACACACACACACACACACACTTACTCACTCACTCTCACTCTTAGTCTCAATCTCCCTTTCACTCTCCCCCCACCCCACACACAAACTCACTCACTCTCACACACAATACTTACGCCAAAATTCCAGACAAGTGGAAGATCTCAGCGTTGAGGTAGGCCAAGTACGACATGACGAACACGAAGATGGGTTCAATCACGCGGACTTGGTTCGTGAACCTGGGGGAAAAGACAAGATTTTTAGGGGAAAATACAAGAATTAAGGGGGAAAGAAGAAAATTTAGGGGGAAATACAAGAATTTAGGGGAAAAGACAAGAATTTAGGGGAAAATACAAGAATTTAGGGGAAAAGACAAGAATTTAGGGGAAAAGACAAGGATCTAGGGGAAGTAGGACACAACATGGCGAGGGGAAAATGAAGATGAAAAGGGGAAATGGGGTAGAGGATAAGGTGGAATGATACTTATATAAGCGACTGAGAGAGAGAGAAAGAAAGTGAAGGATGGAGAGAGGAAATAGGGCAGAGGATGAGAAGAAGAGGAATATGGGGATGAGAGAGAAGAAGGGCAGTAGGAGGAGGAGGAAGAGAAACTGACAGTAAAAGAGGGAGATGAGGAAGGAAAGGGGGATAAGGAAGCAGTAAAAATGCCGATATAGGGAAAGGAAAAGTAAGGTCTGAGACGGGGAAATGAGAATGAAATTGAGGATGAGGAAGAAAAGAGGAAGGAGGAAAGAGCACAACACAAGGAAGTTTAAAGTTTAGGAAGAAGTAATAAGAGGAAGAAGAAGGCGAGGAGGAAGGCAAGGACAAAAACAAAGGGGATAGAAGAAAGCAGATAAATGATGAAAAGTATCAGAATAAAAACAAAAACCAAACAAAGGACACAAAATATGAAAATATAACGACAAAAACAAACAAAGAAACTGAGAGAAAAGAAAAAAAAAACGCTCTCACAGCATCTCTCTAAAGGCCAGACTCCAGATAAAGTCTCCCAAAAAATCAAACAAAGAAAAGAAAAGAAAGTAAGAAAAAGTAAGAAAGAAAGAAAAACAAAAATGGCAAAAAGAAAGAAAAATGGAAAAAACACACTCGCAGAACCTCAGATAAATCTAAACAACGGGAAGAAAAGACAGAAGGAAGAAAAAAGAAAGTAAAAGAAAGAAAACAGAAAATATAGAACATAAAGAGAAAGACGAGAAAAAAATCCTAGAACCTCCAAAAAAAATTCCACACACACCATACTAAAAAAGAAAAAAAAAAGAAGAAAAAAAAATCCTACGACGACATCCCACCCACCTGGTGACGAAGGCCGTGAGGAATCCCCAGATAATCCCTATGGCGACGCCCCCGAGACACACCAGGAGGAAGGACGCGATGCCACTCAGGATGTCCACCACCTGCACGTTTTCTTCGCCGATCTCTCCAAAGGCCTCGAACATGTGGTAGAGCACCTGCGGGAGGGAGGAACGGGGAGTGAGGGGGTGGGAGAGAGAGGGGAGGATGGGCGATTGCTGATGCTGGCGTGAAGGGGGGGGGGCGTGGATGTTGGGGAGAGTGGCGGTGGTTGTGGTGGTGGTGATATGAAGATTAATAATAATGATGATAGTAATAACAATAATAATGATGATTATAACAATAATAATGAAAATGGTGATGATGATATGATGATGATGATGATGATGATGATATGATGATGATGATGATGATGATAATGATAACAATAATAATAATAATAATAATAATAATAATGATAATAATAATAATAACAACAACAAAACAACAATAATAATAATAACAATAAGTGATAATAAACGATAATAAAACCAACGATAATACTAGTGATAACAACAATGCAAGCAATAAAAAACAACAGTAATGATAATGATAATAAAACAAACAATAACAAAATGACAACTAAAAACAACATCACCAACAAAACATCACTAAAGGTGCTGTCACACTAGCACTTTTTCCGTCATTTTTTGACAATTTTATTTAACATAAATACAAACATTCTCGAATATAGCTCTTGATTTGACTATGCTTGGCTGAAAAAAAGTTGACGGAAAAGTTTTCAGACGGAAACGATCATAATCGTCTGACTTGAAAATCGACAATTCGCTCAAAAATGGACAAAATCTCAGAAAATTGTCAAAAAAAAAAAAAAAAAAAAAAAAAAAAAAAAAAAAAAAAAGACGGAAAAAGGGCTAGCGTGACAGCACCTTAACACCCGCAGACCAAACCCCAACACCTACCACAGTCACACCGTCGTTGAGCAAGGACTCGCCAAACACGAGGATGTAGAGCACTTCCTCGACGTGGATTTCCTCGAACACGGCCAGCACGGCGACGGGGTCCACGGCCGATATGAGGGCGGCGAAGAGGAACATGTGCAGCATGGGCACGTCGACGCCGAAGAGGCCTGTGAGGTTCACTGCGTACATGGAAATACCTGGAGGAGGAGGAGAAGGGGGAGGAGGCGTTAAGGAATATCTTTGTTTATTTATCTGTCTACTAGGAAATCTTTGTTTTATTTATCTGTCCACTTAGGAATATCTTTGTTTATTTATCTGTCTACTTATTTATCTGTTTATTCGTCTATTTATTCACTTATTAGTATTTTTTCTAAATAGGGGTTTCATTTGTGTATTTTTTGTTTGTTTTATGTCTGTCGTTGTTTTGGAAGTATGTTTCAGGTGTGTATGTTTTGGAATTTTTGTCTTTATGGTATTTTGTCTATATGTCTGTTGAGAAACAGACGTAATCGTAATCTATGGATCAATTAATTTGTTTTATCTGTCAGCTTATTTAGATATCTATACATCTAAACATATCGATAAACACATTTAGTCATCTATCAATCTTTGTATTTGTATAATCTTCATGTACAAATCTATTCACACACACACACAGACACACACACACACACACACACAACACAGACACACACACACACACACACACACACACGCACACGCACACGCACACGCACACGCACACGCACACACACACACACACCACACACACACACACACATATATATATATATATATATATATATATATATATATATATATATATATATATACATACAAATATATATTTATTTATGCAGTTTACACAATATCATTCCCAATACAAAACCCACTTTCGCTTTTCTTTCCATCTTAACCCCGGTTGACACTTTTCGTCCCCGCCCTTCCCCCTAACCCCCTCCCCACCCCCCCCCTTCGATTCGGCGACCCTGTGGGCTTTAGATAACCAACCCCATTTCGACCCTTTTTTGCATCACTTTTACTTGTCACACTTTGCTGTCTTATTTGTTTTGCCTCCTTTCCTAACCTGATGTCATCCACCCTGCGTGACAAGAAGTATAATCGGTTAAAAATGATATTGAAAGAAAAATCGCGTTTTTTTATTGGTATCGAGTGGCATTCGCAAAAGCAAGAAAATGCAGGTCATATTATTTTCCTTCGCTTACGTATCATGAATATTTGACAGATTTAAATATATGTTATCCAACATATAACTGAATGATGATCTTCTCTCTCCATTCTTTACTTCAGTTTGTTTTCTCCAGTAATAGATTTTCAGATTTCTTTGTCTGTGTGCATTCGAGTGTGCATATTCGGTGTGTGGGCATGTATGTGGATTCATACGAACGCATTCTGTACCCTTGTTCCCTTCTTAAAAGCGGTGCAATTGATCTGTCAACTTTCAGATACAGACGTTTCAAATTTCACTCAGCGCATTGTCACGGCTGCAAGCATTATTGCAATCACTCGGCGGTAACAGGACACCCTCAGTTTCGCGCGCTGGACAGGGTCGCGGCGGTTGTAAATCCCAGATTAGTGGTATTAACTAAAAGGTTTCGCATGTTCCGTTCGATTTTTCTATTCTCTTATTTTTCTTTCTTTCTTTTTGTTCTTATTTGGACCAGCATGCAAAGCAAAGGATTTAAAATTCGGAATTTCGCTCATGCATTAACGTCACATCAGATTACTCAACAAACCGGACTTTTAAATTCTTCCCAGAGCTGCCTCATCGAAAATTCATCTGACCTGGCCACGTACTATAACCTGCTCCCACTGTACCATTCTTTTCCATATAAATTTAAGCATATATTCCAAGCATGGTCAATATAAGCGACCTAATCTCGAAGGGCTGTGCAATAAAACCTTTATGGCACCTCGACATTTCGGTGACGTTTTCCCTTGTCTAACCTACGGATAAGAACGACGCTTTATCTCCTCTTTCTACGATTGCTTTATATTTTGATGTCTTGGGCACGTTCGTACTGCCTTGTATTTCACTTGATTTTGTTTTATTTGTTTTTTATTCTAGTAAATTAAGCTTGATTATTATGAGTTTTGATTACGAATTTTTGGGAGACTAGTTATACACAGGTCACTAATGCAATGCAATGACATCGAAAATGTATACAATACTAAAAATATTTTTCCTAAGTACATATTTTTTCTTTGTGCTTTTTTTACGTGAAATGCATAACATTAAACAGTTCATTTCATCTGTGTTACTTGTACTTTTCCACATTTACGTACAGACCTTCTGGTTCGTTCTTTTTATTTCTTTTTATGTTCGTGATCAAGTTTTTGTTTGGCTGAGAATATATAGGATGCCGATGATGCCTTTTTGTGTTGTCCTCTGTCTGTCTGTTTCTTTCTTTCTCTCTCTTCTCTCTGTCTCTCTCTTTCTCTCTTCTCTCTCCGATCATTTTCCCTCTCTCCCTTCAATCTTTTCTCTCTCATTCCACTCTTTTTTCTCTCTCGTTTCAATCTTTTCTCTCTCATTCCACTTTTTTTCTCTCTCCCTTCAATCTTTTCTCTCTCTTATCACCCTCTCTTTTCACTCTGCTTCCCTCTTCGTCTCGCTCTCTCTCCCCAATCATTACGACACATCTCACCTAAACTTGACCTTTCATCCTTATCATTCCAGTGTTTCCATTGACCAAAACCTGTAACTGACTTTTCTTAATTCTTATCAATGTTTCCTTTTTTTCTTCTTTTTTTTTCTTAAATACAATTCATCAGAACCTCCCAGGGTCCCCCCTACCCCCTACCCCCCGCCTTCGCTTGGTAGACAACCGTGATATTAACGTAATTGGATTTAGAAGAAATCTTTGGATCTCCATGCTGCGCAATATTTTATGATCATTGATGGATTACGCTCATTAGCATAATGTGGTCGCTGGTTCTCTTGCTGTTTTTTTTCTATTTTCATTTTTGATGTTTTTTTAGTCTTTTTTTCCCTTTCCTCTTTTACTTTTTTTTTTTTTTTTTTTTTTTTTTTTACTCTTGGGCACTTTTTCGTTCTGTTTCGTTTTCTTTTCATGTTTCAATGCGTTTCTCTTTTTTGTGTTTCTGATTTGTCTTCTCTCTTTGCATATGTGAGTGAGTGAGAATGTGTGTGTGTGTGGTGTGTGTGTGTGTGTGTGTGTGTGTGTGTGTGTGTGTGTGTGTGTGTGTTGTGTGTGTGTGTGTGTGTGTTCCCTCGCACCCGTTTCTTCCCTTCCTTCTTTCACTCCCAATTAATTCTCAACACACGGGCAGCCATGCAAAGAAAACAAAAGATAAAAAAGAAAGAGAAAGAGAAAAAAATAATAATTAATAGCATAACTCCCACCTGCCCCCCTCCCCCCTTCGCCCCATGTTTTTTTTATCCATGGTGAGGCTGGAGCTCTATGGGGCAAGGAAGGGGGTCCTGTCGCTACACTATCAGCGTGACGTATCTTTACGGGTGAGCTGTTGAGAAGAGTTTTTTTTCCTTCTCTCTCTCTATTTCTCTCCTTTTCTTTCGAGTTCTTTGGATTTAAGTTTTTTTTGAGGGGGCACTTCCACTTTTTGTGCGTGCCTTATGCTTTCTCTTATGTTTGTTGGGTATTTATTTAGGTATTTCTTAAAAATCTGTAGCACTGGGTGATTGTCAATTATCTCATAATAACAAAAGGAAAAAAATATATATAATATATAATGCCTCTTAATATCATAATCAATATAATGGTAGTTATCTATAATACTATTAAAATGGGAAAATATTTTACGAATTATGCGAGTTTTATCGTTCACTATAGTACGTGTAACAACAACAAAAACTGTTATTACCTGTCTATAACGTCCTAAGTACCCTTTGCTAATAACTATTCCAGTTAGTACAGTTAATACTTGTGCGATTATGAACCCTTCTTATTAAGAATATCAAACTAATCTCCATTACAATAAACTATTCATTTACTACAAGGAAAATTTCTGAGTTTCGGTATTCACCTATGACGTCATGCTAGTCGAATCCTGAAGTCCTGAAGATATATTCGTGAAAGAAATTAGGAAAAATACCGGATCTATAATTAAGGACCCCGTCAGAAGGCACTAACCCAAGCCTTACGTGGAAATGGGGGTGCCCGAAATGTCAGGTTATGAGAAGGGATGTCCTGTTTAAGGTAAAGAAAGGTCAGGTGAAGAATGAGTCTCACTTCTGATCTTTTCTAGATATATTTTGTCTATTGGTTGGGTATTGTAAGAAAACGACAGGTAATCGTCAACATCCCCTTCCTTTTTTATCAGTGTTCTTATCTTGTGATCGTAATAGAAAAAAAATATACAACTCTAATCTAAACAAACAAATATACCAAAAAACAAAAATGAAATATAAGATACCATGAAATGTAAATATAAAAACACTAGCATGAAACATAATACCATAATAAAATGAAAACAAAAACTAAAAACAACAACCCCCCCAACTAAAAAAAAAAAAAAATAAAAAATAAAAAATAAAAAAATAAAAAAATAAAATCGTCAAAGCTTATCCAACACAACAACAACAACAGCACTTACCAATGGTCAAGCAGTTCCAGATGGTACCCACGACGGCAAAGACGAGAATGGTACCCAGGTGATCGAAGAAGAGACGGTTAGGCATGAAGTACCCAGCATCCAAAATAATGGGAGGAAGCATGTACAAGAAGAAGACATCGGCGGTGAGAGGAGACACGGAGGCCGCGTTGGTGTAGAAGAGCAGGAGGCCGATGAAGACTCCGAGGACGATCAGCATGCAGGATTCGGGGAAAATGTGCGACAGTTTGGGCGCCATGTGG